AAATGTTTCAAAAATATTTTTTTACAACAGTAATTTAAAAGAAATGCAGTTGAGTATGACAAAACTTAAATAATGATCAGGCTTAGAGATATCTATGTGTCATTACAAAAATTCAGAGCTATTCCTCTAAAAGACAAGTTTGGATATAACTTTGGATCATATAATATCAGAAGCAGATACTTACTTACTTAATTAATTAATTACTTACGCCTGTTACCCCAAATGAAGTATAGGCAGCCGACCAGTATTCTCCAACCTACTCTATCCTTGGCCTCCCTTTCCAGTTCTCCTAAATTTTTGTACATTCTTCATCAACAGCAAACTGATGACACTTTTTAACTTCAGTTATTCTAAATATTTGAAGAATCTCAAGAAATAATCCGTTAACATTAGTTGAAAACATCACACAAACCTTTTAAACACTAGATTTAACTCAATCCCTGCATTTCGGTTAATTTCTGTACTTCACAAAATGATAATAATATCAATTGAGGTTATGTAATATAGATTCAAGCTTTATTATATGTGACGTGTTCAGTACTATCTCGATTATTAAGTGGATGAATACTATCTGTTAGTGTTCTTGAAATAAAAATTTTATTTCAAGATAATTACAGTATTTACAGCTGTTCAGGGTTGAACAGTTTGGCATCTCACATTAATATATAAATGTATTGAAACAAATAACTTCAACAAAAGTATTTTCTGAAAAATATACTAATATATGTAATAGTGATCTAGAAAGTGGATGGAAAATCTATCTAAAAGCAATAGATTTACTGAATACTGCAAATATTGTGGATGACCACAAACATACTACACACCTGAACTGCCTTAAAAAAATTGAAATTTTCAAAACAACCACATTTCTAACACTAACAACACTACGCATTAATTGTATCAACTAAACTAAACTTAACAGTCGTCACAACAACCCCGTAATGCAAATTCCCTGTGCTCACTAATGAGTAGCTTCGTGAGGGATCTTTGAGTTCTAGTGGGAGGACGTGACCAGTGAAGTTCAACCTGCTCGGGTGTAGACAGTAACTACCGAACACTGTTTATGAGGTTGCTCCACTCCGTGAATTGATCAAGTTAGACATTGAAACCGTTTGATACCGGCTCAGTGGTCCGATGGTTAGGCGTTCGCGCATAATAACGAAGGTCCTGGGTTCGAATCCTGCGAGGTGCAGGAGTCGTGGATGCGCACTGCTGAGGAGTCCCATACCAGGACGAAACGGCTGTCCAGTGCTTGCAGGTTTCTAATGGTGATCTAACATCGATCGATTCATGGTTTCAAATAAAACTTAACAATCTTTACAACAACCCCGTAATGTAAACTAAACTAAACTAAATGCAGAAGTTGGTTGGTTGATTTAACGTTTTCTGATTAGTTTTGAATAATGAAATGATTGATCACCATTTTTAAAAAAAAATAAAACTACTAAATTAATACATAATAAAAAAATCTTGTCCAATAAAACAAATTATGTTACTTTTTTCCTAATATTTTTTGGATCGTATAAAAATCAATTATATATTAGACACTGATTATTAAAATACTTAGATTTAATCCTTTCTCATTAATGTCTTCCTGAAATTGAGTTGAATTAGATTGTTCCGTTGTTTGATTAGAAATTAAAACCGCAACAAAATTATTTGTACATAGATTAGAGATTAAATCTTTATTTGATAGTGTGACAAATATGAATTAGCGGTTCTCCTTTAAAAAATCTATGAAAAAAAATTAATCTTTATGGTTTGAGAATATGACATAATTGTATTTTTAGATGAATATTTCAGCTAATTTCATTTCTTTGTATTATTTATTGCGTATATGAAAAATAGTAAAACACATTAAAAAAATAATTTTAGGGACGTTAGATCCCCAAAACTCACTTTGAAAAGATCCTAATTTTGGATATTTTTTTGTTTTCGCGCATAAGTTGCTTGGTTGACCTTGAGATTACATTTCTCGCTCGCGAAATTCCTCGACTGTCATTGGTTGATTTATTATTGCAGTATGTTATTTTTAAGGCTTTCCCAAGGAGGTTTCTCTCATGTATAAAAAAACTCGATTTGTGTGCTTGTCAACGTTGTATATTCTGGGTGCTTGTAGAATACACTTTCACCGCCTTATTAAGACTTCTCGATATAGTAGCCGGGCCGGGGACAATCAGATTAGAATAGCTTATCGTGTCACTGCATCGTTTGTCTTCGCTCGGTTTACCGACTAAGGTGAACTCGTAATAGTTCAAGCATATCATTTGACGAGCATATCATATAACACATATTGTGTTTAGAAAGAAATTTGGTGACAACCATGAGCTGTTGAATAGCTGTGGTTTAATAGAATTATTCAAAAGGAAATCTCACTATTCCATGTTTTTCCATAGTTCATGACGTTAGATCAGTAATTAAATAAAACTACGTAAAATTAATATCAAAAAGATGGTCCATTTAGAAATTCATTTATAATGAATGTTTGAATCGGCCCATTGATGTTTAGGACTGTAGCTGATCAGTCTTTTTGAGAAATGAGCATCTTGTGAGGATAGCCTAGATAATATTTTATAGATTATAAGCATTATTAGCAGAGGTCCCAGCCACTAGAATGAACATCAGCCCTGGTGATGAGTACCAAAAATGATGACACGAGCTTCTTGGATTCCACCAATAGCCAATATCGACCTCTCATAACAACGCTTCTAACCTAAAGAAGATATCGAGACAGTCCGCAAAGGATGAAAAAATGTAAAATGAGACTGACAGATTGTAGCTCTACGCGTTAATGAGTAGATTCAAACCACCAATAAAATAAGTCAATCTTCAGTCAATTTCACAAAAGATTAACCATCTTGACTCAATAGCTACGTTGTTAACGCGATGTTGTTGGGAGCGTAAATTATTGGTTGGGGAGGCCAGACCAAAACATGGTGCGAATCCATGAAGTCACTGACAAGTGGATTGAGTCATGTCGGTAGGCATTGACTACCTGGTTGGGGCCCGCGACATGATAATAATCGATGGTTATAGACCTTGAATGACATGGCTAAAGATCGTTTTCGAAGGCGCAGTTTCATGCATTCTTTGTGTTCTCTCGAATTCTGGTCTTCTAAATTCCTCATCACCTTTATCTTTCGCTTTTTAAGTTTATTTCATTACATTATACTTTTCGAATGAAGTATTTGGACAGTGATTATACTTCAAATCCCTCTCCCACCATGGGATTTGAATCGATAGTCGCATCTCTGTAGTAAAGCAACTTGAACTGATGTAAGTACGTACAAAATTCTACGTTACTGTTGACTGACTGACTGACCATTGGGTTCGAGTCCCATAGTGAACATGGACTCTAAGGTGTTGGTATATCCGACTGATAAGTACCAAACAGAACGAAACGCATGTCCTGGATTCCCATGCTAACCACTGACCATGTGTGCTTATTCGAAAGTGTATAATTTTTCTAGAGTATAATTTCTAGAGTATAATTTCTGATGAATCAACGATTAGAAACCTGGAAACATTAGACGGTAGTTTCGTCCTGGTTTGAGACTCGTCAGCAGTGCACATCAACGACGTGAACGCATGAACATCTAGCCTCTGGACTACTTGGCTGCCTTTATTATCCGGCAGTAAATTCATTGACGCATACCAACTGACTGATGAGTTCTGAACATTTACTTGATAAATAATTCAAGATTAGTGAAGAAACATCATTTTTCAATCCCTTTTTTTTTATAAACACTCTACACTAATAAATAATACTGTTACAGATGCATAGAAAGTTCATACCACTCAAATTATAGTGAGTCAATTCAGTAAAATGATAATCACTTATTTGTATAATGTATGTTTTTATTAATATTGAAACTACGATGATTCTTCACATTCACATAATCAGTACAAACTGTTACATAACATTAAGAATAACAATCGAAACTGGGTATCGATAATTATGTTCAGAAAATACATAAAACCAATGATAGTGCAGTGAAAACTAGATATTAAAATAGTTAATCAGATTACATAAGATTAGGAGTCAAGATTAAAATGTTAACAGTTTGAAGAGAAATAAATGGTTTTGAAACATGTAGTAGTATTAATGTCAAGGTAGATTAAAAGGCTGTTGAAAAGTTTACTGAATGAATAAATTAAGCTTACTGATATGTATTCTTATAGTTTCTGGTGTAGACAAGATCTAGATTACATAACTATGGATGAGATTTTATGGATAATTTCAAATGTTGAAGTTTTATTGGTCTTGATGACCTGTATCGATTAAGTGTGCCAAGACAGATCTTTTTATTGATTTCATTTAACCCTCTGATCAACTATTACGGATGACGTTCAGAGTTATGATTATACATTTTTCAAGTAGTGTACCCAATATAATTAGCTCCATAAAAGCAGTGGAAAAATTACATAAATAAAATATTGGGGGCACAACCGAGACAACTAGGATTGTTCTCAGTTAAGATATTTATTGAAATAACTCAAATGATACTCATTAGCCGTATAAATAAGTTGAATTATTAAAAAAAGGACCAAAGACATTGATGGAAAATAAAAATAAATAGTCAAGGAATATGCCTCAAAGTATAAACCGACATTCATTTTGTAGAAAAATGATCTTAAATCAACTTTTCTGGTGTAACAAGTTAGACTAGTTTCGATCATTTCGTGAATTGTTTAAATCTACAGCCAGATAGTAAGTATTTCATTGGTTAGCTTAACTGTTTAGTGCTTTCCTGTGATTGGTTAAAAATCATTTATTTATTTTGACACAGTTATCATATAAACTTAATATGCGCTATTATGTTGTGAATGTCATACAAAAATATCAAGATAAAATCATGCATACTAGATTAAGTAGAAATTTTACTTATTCACCTCATGAATTTATCTGACTAATTAGTGTATTACTGGAAATTATATATCTCTTTACTCAACTGTTCAAATTCAAACAGACTTATTGATATAGCTGATGATTCATTGAAATGAAAGGTTCAAAAATTACAAATCATCGGAATTTTCCAGTGGATGGATGTCTACCAGATATTGATTATTCATTGATGAGAATGAAAAATTTGGATGATCTTGATTTGGACAAAGTTTTAATGGAATATGAGGTGAGCAGTGAGTTGTATTGTGTTAATGTTTTAGACTAGTGGTTTTTTGGCATGAAGTTTTGTTTTATGTCAGGAATTTGGAAGTAATCAGCAGAAATATATAAACGTGTTGTTTTATTATGTTATCCGTCATGTGTCAGCAAGGCGTATCTGAAATCTCGGGGAAAAACAAACCCCTCACGGGATTTGAACCTGTGTCAACCCACTTTCTAGTCTTGTAGGACTGAGATATTTACAGTTGACTGGCTGCTAAGTAGTAGTTAAATTTTTCAATCCTATTGGAGCTGATCAAATCCTATCAACCAATTTACAATATGGCTATTAGCCTATATGACTCGACATCAGCCGCACTATGTTGAAATGTCTGGTGGTTAGAGTTAATAGACAGGAATAAACTGGCTATGATTTCATTCTATTTGATGGTCCAACACCCTCAGGGAGTAGCAGCAACCTCAAAGTTGCAGGTACGCCTTCCTATCAAGTATCAGTCTGCACAAAATTGGGGTTTAAATTTTCCTTTCACTCAGCTTCAGTTATATAAAATAGTGCACGTGATATCGAGTTATTTAGACTAGTGATCCAGTAACAAACTGATCAGTGGAACTCTGTCAGTACTAAGAGATTAAACAAAAATAAGTTTCTTCACTCACTAGTAGTCAATTAATTACAAGTGTTTTGTTCTTTTAGTTGAAGATTACATGAATTTCGAAATAGGAAATTATTTCTGTTGATGATTAGAAAAACATGTTTTACAATATTAATTTAACTGAAACTTGATTGTTACCAATTTTTTCAACGCATCTCAGACTCCTATGTTGATAAATAATTATTAATGATTTCTGCCAGCCAGCCATTACGCAACATTTGGACTGAGTTAGGTAAAAATCGATGATGATCATTTGAATTCTAATAAGATATTCTCATGCTATATTTGTAAGAATGCTTGACATAGTAAACAATACAACTGAACAAAAGCTAAGATTCAGCAAGATTCCATATTGTTATCATGAATGTTAACACATACTCGATGTTTTCTTATGATCATTGTATTTTTATAAATATCGTTAGAACTTGTAACAAGTTAAAATGAAGTCAAAGTATTCCCATATGTCAATTTTTTTAATGAGTTTTTTTACATAAACTTGTGGGAAGTCCAGTAGTAGGCAACCATAAGTATATATTGATTGAAAACAATTTTTACGATATCGTTTAGTTTGTTAACAGAGTTTTACTCATAAAACCAAGTCATATAATTGTAAAGAACCTGTTCTTCCATGTTTTAAATCATCAATCAATCATTGTTAGACCACCATTAGAAACTTGGAAGCACTGGAAGGCCGTTTCGTCCTGGTATAGGACTCATTAGCAGTGCACATCCACGACTCCTGCACCTCGCAGGATTTGAAACTGGGGCCTCCGGTCTCGTGCGCGAACGCCTAACCTCCAGACCACTGGGCCGGCATCCAACGGTGTTAATATCTAGGGACTTAGCGCGACCTCACCAATTGGTCGTTGGTAGTTGCTGCCTACACCCGATAGGGTTGAACTCCACTGTTCATGTCTTCTCACTAGAACCCTGAGAATTTCCTCACCAAAGCTAGTCACTAATGAGCACATTTTACAATATTTTCAATTCGAGTTATGGAGATTAGTGTTTTTACACATTTTATTTTAATAAATTTAGAACAACTCACAAATAAAGTCAATGTAAAATTTAACTTTTCAACAAATCAAATGATCATAAGATGATTTAAGAATCACTTAATAATATAGTTGAAATTTTACAAATATAAATCTGGGCGAAAACAGACTCAAACAAACGATCTGTTAAAGCCTTGATGTACAATATTCATCCATAATGTAACAACCATAATTTCACCAAAAATTGTATTAAAATGAATAAAGTCACTGATATAATAGAGAATAAATACAACATGTAACTATTTGTAGATAGTTATCATTACGGAGTTGTGAAGATTGTTATGAATCGATGAGTGTTAGACCACCATTAGAAACCTAGTGGCACTGGACGGCCGTTTCGTTCTGGTATGGGACTCATCGGTGTCAGTGCGCATCCACGACTCCTGCACTTCACGGGATTCCAACATTGATATAGTCGTCATTTAGCCGTCACACTGACGTAATTATAATAATTATTATACTGCCGACTGTCTTCTGTCTTGTTCATTGGAATTTCACGTTTCGTTTCTGATTTCTTTGCTTAACCTAAATCATAGCTAGATTCAATGTTGCATTACGGGGTTGTAAAGATTGTTAAGTTATACATTTGAAATCTTCACAACCTCGTAATGCAAATTACCTGTGCTCACTAGTAACTAGCTTCGTGAAGAATCTTCTCCGAGTTCTTGTGGGAAATCGTGACCAATGAAGTTCAACCTGTTCGGATGTCGACAATAACTACCGGAGACAGTGTATGAGGTAGCGCAACTCCGTGAATTGATTGAAGTTAGACATCAACACCGTTAGATTACAGGCTTAGTGGTCCAGAGATTAGGCATTCTTGCGCACAGACTAAAGTTTCTGGGTCCGGATCCTGCGAAGTGCAGGAGTGGTGGATACGAACTGCTGATTTCGTCCCATACCAGGTCGAAACGGCCATCCAGTGCTTTCAGGTTTCTAATGGTGGTTTAACAAAGATAGGTATCAGTCAGTAATTTCATAATATATTCATTTTGTTTTATTCTAATTATTTGCATTGACTACTGTCTTGTCGTTTTGCAATAAGAAAAAAGATAATTAATGACTCTTTGATAATATAATAATAATAATAATAATAATAATAATAATAATAATAATTAAATATGAATCAGTAAATTAATTTTATGTAGAGTAATATAATTTTTTGATGAATATTTGAAGCAATGATATTTGTACGTAATACAAGTTCATTAATACTAAACTATCATATATATATATATATATATATATATATATATATATATATACGACTCTGTAGTGCCTCTACACACAGTTGAGTTCGCTTATATTAGATTTGGTTAAGCCTTTCGATTAATTTGTTTAACCAAGCCACTCGTATAGCAACAATTTATATGTACCATTGATTTTTACTATTGTCTGTTTTGTATGAACTGGTACATCTGAATATTACTTACACCTGTTTGCTTTGATTGTAACCGTAAGTATCTCGATGACTCAGACATTTCCCAATGTATATGTACGGACATTTTAATGTTATTAATTCATTCGCCAACTCGCTCGCCAGTGTGCTTGCCCTGTTCTGCGTGTTTGTGGTCTGCTAGTCCATTTTTTGTGGTTTGTAAAAAATTAATGTATTCAACACTTCGTATTTGCCTTGTGATTTATAATCGTTCATCTCTATTTGGGGACGATTGCCTAGACAAGTGAATTACGACGCTTAAGAACACGTTGAATATCAACCGTCACGAAACTTATGATACACTGATCACCACAACTCAATGATATTGAGAATAAGATCATTTTCTATTAGAGTAATGGAGATTAGTGTTTTTTCACATTTGAAATCATCAATCAATCATTGTTAAACCACCATTAGAAACTTGGAAGCACTGGACGGCCATTTCGTCCTTGTATGGGATTCATCAGTGTCAGTGCGCATCGATGACTCCTGCATCTCGCAGGGTTCGAACCCGGGACATTCGGTTTTGAGCGCGAATGCCTAACCATTGGACAACTGGGCCAGCATCTAACGGTGTTAATGTCTAAGATCATTTCATTCATACGTGAAACTCTCTATTCATTAAGTGAAGAAATCAACATAATTTCTACACTTAAAAGAAAAACAAACCATTTCACTTCCATAATAAGCAAAAGCGTTTCGATTCTCTGGACTAAATTTTATTCATTCAGTTTTGTCGAAAATATTTTTTCGAAAGTTTCATTGAAATATTTGCATGTTTAACGTGTTTTTTTTCCATTCCTAAAACAGCACACTGTTAGTGTAATTACTGAATTATTATCCTGTAGAAATATTTTGATACATTAAGATGTAATTTTATCTTGATAACTGTGAGTTTTTTTGTTTTTCTACTAACAGCTACCTATTTCATCGAAAACTAAATGCCTATGCATATAACTGTTAAAAAAAAATATTAAAACACTTTAGAAGTTAATTTTTTCAAGCATTAGAGATGCATGCTTTATTTAGAGAACATTCATTATCATCAAAATTAATCTAGTACGCCTAGTCGTTAAACATCCGTTTGTATAACTAATGTTTATATCATTAAAATCAGTTGAAAAACTTCATATTCTGTATAATGAAACATTGAACAAACTATTAAAAATTGTGAATGGATTTTTTATTATGAATAACAAGAAACTGTAAGTATATATCATTATGATAACATTTAAGCTTTTCCAACTGCGTAAATATTCATAGTAATTTTGACAATAATGATTGTCTAACATTGATCGATTCATGGTTCCAAAAAATGTGTAACTTAACAATCTTCACAACAACCCTGTAATGCAAATTACCTGTGCTCACTAGTGACTAGCTTAGTGAAGAATCTTCTCCGAGTTCTAGTGGGAAGACGTGACCAGTGAAGTTCAACCTGTCCGGGTGTAGACAGTAACTACGGGAGACAGTGTATAAGGTTGCGCAACTCCGTGAATTGATTGAAGTTTGACAATAACACCGTTAGATACTGGCTCAGTGGTCCAGAGGTTAGGAATTCGCCCGCATAGACCGATGGTCCTGGGTTCGGATCCTTTGGGGTGCAGGAGTGGTGGATGCGCACTTCCGAGGAGTCCTATACCAGGACGAAACGGCCGTCCAGTACTTCCAGGTTTCTAATGGTTGTCTAACATTGATCGATTCATGGTTTCAAAAATGTGTAACTTAGCAATCTTCACAACCCCGTAATGACAATAAATATTCTCATTTCTTTTGAATAGTTGAAGTTGTTTTACTTGAGTTATTATAATACTAGTACGTAAACTATTTTATATTATTTCATTCGTACTGGTTGTTTGAA